GAGGGCTAGAGCCCAGCGCCGGACTAGCCCAGCGGAGGACTAGTCCAGCGGAGGACTAGCCCAGCGCCGGGCCGGCGGCCGCGCTGTTGTGGCGCGGGGTTTTCCGGACGCGAGCCGCCGGGCTGCGCGTCAGCCGGCAGATGACACGCAGCCGTCGAGTACGAGCCTGCTAAGCGCATTTTTTCAGAGCAATGTGTCCTTGATGTTCTGGCTCGGTTGTTGGTGCTCAAGCTGTTGGGAAAGGCCCATCGGCCCATCTGGCTGCGGTTGAGGCCAGCTCGATGACGGAGTTTCCGGCGCCGCATGGTCCGTCGTTCCGCTGGACCCCCGCAAAGCCTCCAACTACGTGCAGGTCGGAGCACTTGGGCTTCATGCTGGCCCACAGCTGTTCAAAGCAAATCCTGCTGCGGACGATGGTCCTCAGCGGCACACTATGCCGGGCACACAGGTTCGGCGATTCGGAGCTCACTGCCGTTACTTGCTACGTGAAGGGCGGGGAGGGGGGGGGAGGGGGTGAGGGGAGGTGGGAGGGAATCGATAGCACACCCGGTCAATGTAAACTTTATTAGCGCCAGCGTTCATTCGACTGTTTCCCCTTTTTTGTTTCGCCGCATTCAACAGGAGCATAATTCTGAGCTGCAGCGGGAAAATTGCGATAAACAGAGGGCGAAAGTCGCAGTGTTTCATATGCATCGTCCGAAAATTGGCGGTAAATTTTACTCTGGTAACATTTTGGTTCACCATCCTGTAACCAGAAAGCTTCAGGCCGCGTACTGGATTCTTTGAGACCAGACCATAGTGCCGCAAACGTGAGATGACAATAAGTGTATGATGATGAGTAAAAGCGTCTCCGAAGTGAAAAGTTGCGGCTGTTTTGATGTCTCTCACGACAAGCATCGGTCCTGCTCGTCCTTATCCAATTTGTTAAGCGGTCCCCTGCGTAACCCTAACAAGTGGTCCCTGTAACGCTTGCGTGAAAAGGGCCATAGCGTGACTGGCACTGGTGCGTCACAGAATGGCACCTCCGGGAGCGGGTCGGGTCCGGGCACACCTTAGGCGGCCCTTGAGCGCTTCCGGATTCACACGGCACTGTACGCAGGCTCAGCTGTCGCTCACTTACCTTCCTCTCTCTCGAGATGCTGTGCGCGTTTGGGCCACGTGAGGAAGCCAGATATGGGTTGCAGCGTGTCCACGCAGCCAGCCAGACTGTCGGCGAAGCTCCGCCTGGCTGTTTACGGTTAAGCCGCCGTGCTCTCTCCGTAACCAGCGGTATGCATAGCGCGGGGTCAGAATTACACGCTGAGGCAGACTGCACCTGCCAGCTTAATCCCTCGGCCGTCGCTGACATTCAGAGGAGGGGCCGACGTCAGCGATGTCTCAGTGGTCCAGGATCCGGTCATGGCTCCTCCTACGCGGTCGTTTCAGGGCCAGACTCCGGAGCAGCTCTTCTTCCTGGCGTACGCCCAGAGCCGCTGTCCGGCACACCAAACCGATACCTGAGAGTGCTACTCAACAGCGCCTTCAAGGAGTTTCCGCACCCGGAGATGATCAACAATTTTGTTTACAATTATCCTGATTTTATGAAAGCGTACCAGTGTTCCTCAATCCCACCCAAGCAACCAGGGCAAGCACTGCAACCCTCGGTTGAACGGTCTGTGGAGGCTGTGACCAGGTAATGGTGGTGTTCATTAGGTGGCTGGCTGCGTAGTGGCAATGACAGCTATATTTGCATTACAACTAGGCAATAAATCGGCCTTGAAGCCGGTACGATGGTAGTTTTCGTATTGTTCAATATTTCGTAGCAATGACCGTGGTTCACTTTTGTCACATTTCGGCGCAAAATTTAGCGTGCGTCCGGCGGCTCGCTAAATTTCGCTGTACAATTGATGGCCCGCAGCAATTGCTGGAGTGCATGTGTGGATGTGTTCGTGTGCGTATGCGCGTGCGCGCGTGCGTGCGTGTGTGAGTGTGTGTGTGTGGGGGGGGGGGGGGGCTGTGCTCAAACCGCACATATGGATATGCGTCAACATGGCTGTTATTCAATACGGCTGATGCTTCACGGCCAATGCGTGCTTATGATATCGTGCGGACAAGCAGGCAACAAATTAAACCGTTCGGTGCCAATAACGGTTCATACAACGGAATGCGTTCAGTGATCAACGTGAAACGTGTTGTAAATAGTCATCTAGTGGCGCAGTTATGCTCCGATCAGCTGTGTTGGTTGTTTGACACGCATTCAGCTTTTTTTGGAATACATTATATGCCCGATCGTTTGCGTAGCGCGATGCACAGCGTCGGCAACGTTGGTAATGATACCAAAACGTATGGATTGTCAGCAAAAGCAAGAATTCGGCAGAAACCGCTGTTTTCATCCAGCCCTTCTCGACACGAATGTTTCTTTTTTTGCTAATTGCAGCTTTGGGATGCCCGAGAACGGACATCAGGCGTAGGTACCGGGGTTTCGGCGGACACGACAGAATCGAGTCGTACCGTGACTCTGCAGACAATTCAGATTCCAAAGACAAGCACCGTTCACTCGATAGCATCACTCAATGGAACTTTCCAGGAAATCACTCTGGGCACAATTAGGAAATATGGTGACGTACGTCACGCAACCAAAAGCACAAGGGCCTAAGACAACAAGGACCTGGCCTTAAGTGGCCGTCAGTATTGATGGCGAGACTTAAACGGCCGATGGCTGATAGATCCCGGCCGACCATCTTCACCGGCCGACGGCCGATGGATACCGCCGACCGTCTTCAACGGCCGATGGATACCGGTCGACCGTCTTCACCGGCCGATGGCTGATAGACCCCGGCTGACCGTCTTCACCGGCCAATGGCCGATGGACACCGGCCGACCGTCTTCACCGGCCGATGGCCGATAGACACCGGCCGACCGTCTTCACCGGCCGATGGCCGATGGACACCGGCCGACCGTCTTCACCGGTCAATGGTCGATGGACACCGCCCGACCAACTTCGCGGCCCCTTGCCTTTAGGCCAGATCGCGCTGAGATTTGCTTCCGTAATATATAACCACCGGTGGCTGGCGACCACAACAGAAGACTATTGAAAGACTTACATCTGCCGTGTCAGCCCGCGTCACCCAGTGTACACGCTAATGGCTAGCGTATGATGAACGTGCTACCGTCTCACCCCGTCGAACACCGCAGACACCGTTTGCATGGGCACAAGCCTGAGTGTACGGTCACTTGCGCCTTTCACCCTGTGCACCCGACCCCCGACCTCAGGAAGGGAGTACCGGACTGGATAACAGAAGGAGGCGAGGTCTAAAAGCATAAGCGTCGAGTTGGGCCGAGTCTCGTGCCGGCGGCAAGCGGAAAACCACCCGCAGGTGACCGTTTTTGTCTGACGAGATGTCCACTGTCGTGTATCCCGCAGACACAGCCATTTGCAGCGTACTGCTGCACAGACACTATCCTCTCTGCGATGTATTCCGCTATGATGCATACATGACACCATTGACGTCTATGGTCCCTTGCGTGAAATCGTTATGTAACACAAAATATAAATTACGCATAAAATCGCTCGAAACTGCTAATGCTCGCTAGCAAAAACTTCCATCTAACTTAAGTACACACATCACACTCCCCTTACAGCTTAAGTACATACAAAACAGTACCACAATTTAATATAGCTTAGGGGGCTGCAGCAGCCCTAAATCGAGACCATTCGAGGAGACCATTCGTCAGGAATAGACCCTGTAGCGCGACATGATGAATGATGACGTGGAACTGAGCTCGTCCCGAGTGAGGAAAAATTCAGACAGCCGGGATCAGACCAGCGAGAATGCAGCACCTCGAGCCGAGGACAGTTATTTGCTACGTCACTCAGGATCAACAAAACAGACCAGAATAAAAAACGTAACAGTGATGTTGCGCGAAGGTACAGCTTAAAGGCCATATTTCAGGCCAGGTTACTAATGTCTCACGCAATTCAAGGCATACTTGGTGCGACCTGGCCGGTCGCCTCGGCAAAACAGGTGCCACGGTGACCTCGTTGTTCCCCGACTAACATGTTACTCCCATTTGACACGCGGCAGTCCGACCAACGGTGACCGCTGGTCTAGAGCTGATGACCTGGCAAGCCGAATGCGTCTTTGGAATGGGACTACACATTTGTACTTATACCTTAAAGCATGGGTAGTAGCAAGCTTATGGCAGCTGGACGCTTTTCTGGATCCATCTGGTGACAGTCCGAAATCAAAGTTCGCAAGTCATCCGGTAGAGATGACACGGCATCTCGGGAGGTGTGGACTGCCGCGATCTGGAAAGAGCCATGTGAGGTGGAGTATTCAGTATACGATGCGATTTGAAACAAGAATGCTAAACTATATTGTCTTCGATATTTCCGCCCACATAAGAGGCGAATTAGTTGATGATTTATGGGAATGTTCCACGATTTGAAGATTTTGAAGCTAGTCTCAGATCTGATTAAATAAGCTTCGCTTAATCAATTATAAACTTCTGAGTGGAAAAGACTGCTCTAGACAACGCAATTATCTATTGTAAATATCTTCATCAATACGTCATGTTTGATTCTCATCGTACCTTGAAAGACATGGATTGACAGCCAACTGGCGGCCGCTCTATCCCTCACGGACGGCAGATATGAGAGACACGACAATTATGTTTTCCTTAGCCTTGATCGCCCCATGACAAACGCAATAACAGGATTTAAATGACGTTATTACAGCGCCATGGATGCCTGGGCGGCCTTGAAAGTCTGCAGGAAATAGTCTGTACAATTTCGCGGGTGTGTAGCTCAGAAACTAGAGGGCTTGGGCCTTAAGAAGGGCAGGGCTGTGAACTACACCAGATGATCCTCAAGATGCATTTTTCAATTCAAAGCCCCATATAAATATGAAGCATTCCCCTTGAAACACTTTCAGCCAGCTGGACTGTAGCATCCGAGCGAAGACTCCACTTCCTTCGGGCCCTGCTCAACAGTCCAGGACTCCGAACCACCCTGCACGGCCCTAAACATCGCTCACCATGAACAGCATGGCCAGGTGGTTGCTGCGAGTGTACGCCTGCCAGGGCGGCTGGCCGGTCGCCATCTCGATGACGCAGCAGCCGACGCTCCAGACGTCGCACGAGCGGCCGTAGTGCTCGCCGCGCAGCACCTCCGGCGCCGTGAAGGCCAGCGTACCGCGCACCTGGCCGGTGAACTCGCCACGCAACGTGGCCGCGGCGCCCAACTCGGCCGCCGTGCCCAAGTCGCCGATCTTCAGCGTCTCACCCGTCGAGTCCACCAGCAGGTTTGCACCTGGAAGCGACAGGAGGAGGGACGTCACACGACGGACAGGTTCGAGGCGTCGGCGCACGACAGAGCGGCTCGGGAGACGGCAAGCTCTCAGCTCCGAAGTTCAGGCTGCTGAAGATGATGAACCGTTTTTCTCGCAGCTTGTCATAGAATATTTGGCACCAGCACGCCGCATGCCTCCACCACAACCGATGTTAAAATGGTTCGATGTATTCGCCTCTTACGCATGGCGTTTAAGTCGATTCTCTCTTGTTATCCCGATCCCGAGAAGGGCAAGCAGTCGCTCTATACCCTCATCACTACACCAGCCCAGGCGCACGGCGTCATTACCTTTCAGGTCTCGGTGCAGAATGCCGTTGTCGTGCAGGTACGCCAGCCCGTCCACGAGGTGACGGCTGTAGCGGTGCGTGACGTCATCGGCGAACGGGCCGTACATCTTGAGCAGGTCTGCGACCGAGCCGCCCGCCTGCCAGTCCGTGAAGAGATTGACCACGCCCGGCCGCCGGGTGGCACACAGCAGGCGCAGCACGTGTGGGTGCTGCACGTTCGCCAGGAGACGCATCTCGCGCAGCAGCGCCGCCTTGTCCGTCTGAGGCGACATCTCCACTTGCTTGACGGCTACCAGCCGGCCGGAGCGCAGGTCGCACGCCTGGTAGCAGCGGGCGAAGCCGCCGGTGCCCAGAAGCGCGCCGCGCGCCCAGTCCTCGCCCTCCGTGTAGGTAGCGCTCGTGTCGCCCTCCAAATCCTGCGGGCCGACGGGCAGCGTTAGCCGGAGGAGGCGTACTGGAGAGCACGCCAGTGGGACGTCAAGCGGCAAATGCGAGGAACAGCTCTGACTTCGTCAGGGTCACATTACCACTAACCACGATGTCGGACAAGTGGCGATAGCAGACGGACAGTGTCAGTGATATCACAGTGCGGTGCCATCCAATGGCTCCGCAAAAGGGCTCTGGAGGATTGATGTCACAACAATGAGAAAACAACCGAATATGAGGCGTTCGACATTCGGTCCATTCTCCTTTGTAGCTAACGTCGTGACAGTAAGAAAACGTATATTCTACTGGCCTAAATGACATCATAATCAGGACAAATAGCTGCCTAATTTCCTTTCTGACAGTCCTTGCCCTCGCAAACCCATAACCACTCGCTCTAAACTCACTGGGTCATGAAGGCACACTATGCAGTCCTTCACGGAGGTTGTGACGGGGCCGCGCGGTGGCCGGGGCACGGGCACGTCCTGCACCCCGCCCAGGTCCATCGCGGAGCGGACGGACGACGTGTCGCCGAAGTGACTGACAGGCGTCTCGCCGGTCTCGGCGGCGCATGGGGACCTAGACGGGTGGCCGCGGTCGGAACTCTCCAGTTCGCTCGGCAGTAGGCAGCGCCGCTTGAAGGCGGCAGTTGCGTCCAGCGGCAGGTAGCTGGGCCGCGGACGACGCGTGCCGGTCGCCGCCTCCTCCGCCACCGCCGCCGGCCGCGGCCCGGCGCCGTGCGCCGCCAGCCGATGGCGGCCGCGCCGCTCGAGCCGCGCCATACCTCCGCCGCGGATGCGCCGCGTCAGCCACAGCCGCAGGTCCGTGTCCAGCGCGGCCAGCAACGTGCAGACGTGAGCGTACGCGGCCGGCGTCGCTCGCGCCGCCACCGCCATCTGCACGAACACGCTCCGCGCCAGCCGGCCGACGGTGGCGTGCGGGTGGGTGAGCGCGTGGTGCGCGAACTCGGCGAGCCGCGTGACGCGGTCGGCGGCGTCGCCGCCGGCGCCGCTGAACTCAGCGCGGAACTGACCCACCAGCACGTCGGCGACACGCAGCCGGCCGAGGCACCACTGCCACGAGTCGGCGCCGGAGAGGCACTCCTGCATCAGCCGGTCCAGCACCAGCTGCAGACCGCCCAGCTCGACGGCCAGCAGCGTGCCGCCAGGGCCGCGCGCCAGCTCGGCAAGCGTCCATACGCTGAGCTGCGCCGAGCGGCCGCTGGCGTCGGCCGAGCGCAGCAGCAGCGCGTCCACCTGCGGCGTGAGGGCGCCGCGCAGCCGGGCCGCCTCCTCCGGCGAGCAGCATGGCACGCGCTGCAGCAGCACTCTCAGGCACCTCTGCCGGACGGAGTGGCGCCGTCAGGCTGGCCTGACCGACCGCCGTCCGATGTCGGCAGTGGTGCGAGGTCTCAGGCGGCGGTGCAGAATTAGTGAGGTCTTTAGGGCGGTGGTGTAATGTCAAGATCGAATCGGCGATTTACGAGGACATTGGCACAAGCCCAGCGAGTCTAGCACGTCGCTGACGAATGGTCACACACTTCTTCCTCAACAGCCAGACGGAGTCTGCCCGGCACAGGTGCAGGATCAGGTAAGCCACTTCCCCGACGCCTTAGCCCACTCACGATAGCGCCGTCGAAGACCTTGTAGACGGGGTCGGCGCAGAGCACCGCCAGCAGGTCGGCCAAGTGGTGCAGCAGGTCCACCGCCGAGCGGCCACCAGGACTGCTTACCATGTGGCTCAGCTCCTCAGCCAGCCGGCAGATCCCTGGTGGCAGCGAGCACGGCCCCGTGCAGGCAAGGATAAGTGAAGACAGGATCTATGCGACTGGTGATGGCCTTGGCTCGAGTGCGGGGAAGAAGCATATTCATGTCGAGAGTCACGCTTTTCTATGACTGCGTTTACTTTCTGTCGCGAGTGGGGTTCCGACTCATGTGTTCAATCGCCTAAAAAGCTTACACATCTGGGTGGCTTTGTGTGCCGTACTCGAAAAGGTGAATTCCGAAAAAAGACTTTCTGTCCGCGTGAGATCATGTCCTGAAAAAACAGCTGGGCAGCATAATACGCCTTTCACCCAGCTGGCCTCCTCCCTTAGCACGGTGCATTAAGTCGCGCAGCTCACCTGTGTCTCTGATCTGCCAGTCTCTGCTGAAGACCAACTCAACCAGCTCGCGGCCCAGCAGCTGAGTCCAGGCCTGACGGCGCTCCACGTCTTCGAGCCGCTCCCGGCGGACGGCCGTTCGCCGCAGCGAGCCGCGCCCGGCCGCCCGCCGGCCCAGCTGCGGACTGCGGCCCGGCTCCGTCTCCGACGCTGACCGCTCTCCGGCCGCCGCCGCCGAGCCGCGCGCCCCGACCACGGTCGGCGAGGCGGCGCCGGCCGTGTGCGAGGCGGGGCGGCGGCGGGCGACGGCGACAGGGCGCCGGCCGGGTGCGAGTCGGGCGCGGAGGCGCGGCCGGGCTTGCGGGAGGCCGTCGGCGAGGCGGCGCCGGCCGTGTGCGAGGCGGGCACGGCGGCGGCAGGTGACGGCGGCAGCACGGCGGCCTGGTGCGAGAACGGCGCGCAGGCGCGGCCGGGCTTGCGGACCGTCGACGGGGAGCTGGCGCCGGCGCCAGGCGAACACGGCGGGGAGGCGGTGACGGCGCCGGCCGGCTGCGTCGCTGACGGCGTCAGAGGGCCCGGCCAGCCGACGCGACAGAGAGGGCAGAGCGGCGCCTCCGGTGAACAGGCCGCCCACACGGCCATGCAGCGGTGGTGGAAGTAACTGCGGCAGCCCTCCACGCACTGTACCAGACTGTCGCCGGCCGCCAGCTCCAGCAAACAGATGGCACAGCAGCGATCGTCGCTAAAGGGATACAGATCATTGTCAGAATTCTAAAAAAAACGTATCGATGGTGCTTATATAAAGGACAGTATAAATGGTGCTGCTATAACTGGCAGGTTTGTCACAAATCTGACTGATATCGAATAAAACAGGAGCACAACTCTAGCGAATCGCTGTCATCGCAGCGCAACACGATCCAGCATGGCCCACAAGTTCACCAACGCACGACAGACGCGATATACAGCGGGCCTGTGATCCAAAGCTGATGTCCTCAGTGACATCATACCCACCCGTTGGCGTATGACGTCAGAGCGTCGCCCGGCGACGGGCTGGCCACCGGAGCATATGCGGCGACGTTCTGTACGTCTGCAGCATTGCGTCCACCTATCGGCGCGGGCGTGACGTCACACACGTGGCTGCTTTCCTTAGTCCCTGCTTCATCTGAATCCTTTGCAACGACCCGCTAATCTGAGGTAAGTTGCATGCACCACCATGAGCGGGCTTAAGCAACCCCTGGCAGGAGCCCCACCCGAGGGCCGGCACGGCCCCCAGAGGGGCCCCTGTGCGGCGTTAGACTTGACAGCGTAGGATCCCCAGACACATGTAGTTTTGCCCACCATTAGCCACTCTCCCTCGTCCCACAGCCCTGAATGGCCGTTTACAAGCCAAACTGACTAATGAAATAATAATAAAAAATAAAAAAACGCGGTCATGACCGCCATCCATACAGCTTGAACATCGAGTTGACGTCAGAGACGGAGCCCAGCTGCTGACATGAGCACGCAGATAGGGCACGACCACTATTGACTGACTGAAGCGATCGCAGCCAGGAGGGACAAAATCATGGCAGATGTCTCTGGTCAAGTCAGATAAAGGACTGATAAGCACCTGCAGGAGAAGCTGAAGGATCATTCACACGAGGAATCCACCACTGCATTGACAAAAACACAGGAAAGTCACATACAAAACGCGGAGACAAGAAATGCGGATGACTGAATAGGCTACAGATCATAGCACATGACATCTGACGGGAGACTGAACTGATCACCAGTCCGTCATATGGTATGTGACCGAATCGACCTGGGAATAAAAATACGATGGCGTATCTGAACCGAGCATTGGTCGGAGAGATGACAACAGAACAGGTGACCGAGCAAAACACACGTGACGTGACGGACACCGCCATCTGGAATCACGCCGTCACGAACCGCCCCCTCTGGCACACCTCATGTGTCTGGTTGCTATGTGCGGCATGCATACGTTGCATACCACTGGTGCAACACAGGCAGAAACAGCACCTAGTAACATATCGATACAGCACCCAGTAACATATCGATATTGCATGCTTGATGAGAACTCAGTGAGCGCCTCTCACCCCGCAGAAGCGAAACGAGCGCAGTTTGCTGTCGGGCCCCAAGTATGGACTTCTTGCAAGTTTGGACGAACGCAGTCGGCATAGCCGTAACAGACACTGCTGACAGCGTTCAGCATAATTGTAAACTGCTGCCGAGGTTTTGACGGCTGTCGGTAAGGACCGCCACTGAGCCAAGCAGGGGTCACCAGCGCTCTGTCGGCCTTACCTTAAAGACTGTCACTGAGCCAAGCAGGGGTCAGCCAGCGCTCTATCGGCCATACTTGAAGACTGTCACTGAGCCAGCAGGGGTCAGCCAGCGCTCTGTCGACCCTTACCTTAAAGACTGCCACTGAGCCAGCAGGGGTCATTCAGCGCTCTGTCGGCCATACCTTAAGACTGCCACTGAGCCAGCAGGGATCAGCCAGCGCTCTGTCGGCCATACCTTAAAGACTGTCACTGAGCCAGCAGGGATCAGCCAGCGCTCTGTCGGCCTTACCTTAAGACCGCCACTGAGCCCAGCAGGGGTCATTCAGCGCTCTGTCGGCTATACCTTAAAGACTGTCACTGAGCCAGCAGGGGTCAGCCAGCGCTCTGTCGGCCTTACCTTAAAGACTGTCACTGAGCCAGCAGGGATCAGCCAGCGCTCTGTTGGCCATACCTTACAGACTGTCACTGAGCCAGCAGGGTCAGCCAGCGCTCTGTCGACCTTACCTTAAAGACTGCCACTGAGCCAGCAGGGGTCATTCAGCGCTCTGTCGGCCATACCTTAAAGGCTGTCACTGAGCCAGCAGGGGTCAGTCAGCGCTCTGCTGACGTCACCTTAAAGACTGCCACTGAGCCAGCAAGGGTCAGCCAGCGCTCCACCGACCTCACCTCGTGTGTCTTGAGGATGCCGCAGGTCAGTCGGTAGTCGTTGACCGGCACGCGTAGCACGCGTACCATGATGAACAGCAGGTGCAGGCACTGAGAGGAGGCGCGGCCGCAGGAGCATGTCTGGAACGGCGGTGCAGCCAGCCCGGTCAACACGAGGGCACGCGGGGTGGGGCGGCTGAACTAGCATGTCGGATATAGATGAGAGGGAAAGGGCGTACAGTCAGACTAACTGGGGTTCACGTGGGGAGGAGCGACTAGACGAAAAACCGATACTTAATTGTCGGTTGCACGAACACATCGGAATCTCAGATACACCTAGCCAGATCAGCCGATGCAGGCAAAGGGAGAGGGCCACAAGGACGTACACGTTTCAACCGGCGAGCGCACCGAGACTTATCAACGGGTGCCGTTGCACATGGCGGCGCGGGACGAACAAACCTACGTCGGCTCGCAAACGCGCATGAAACCACAGAAACAAAACTGTCGAGGTCCTGGTGGTGCGTGCGCACCGATTAATCACCACCGGGGACACTCCGCCACCGATGGTGCGGAGCTGCAGGTCACTTGATTGTGGACATGTCTGGGCGGTGCGGGTCATGGTCGGCTGAAGCTGGTGCAGCTGCCTATATGGGGTACGTGGGGTCCTTGGGAGCGGAGAAATGCTTAGCTCAAACGACCCGGCAGCGTCATAAACTAGTGTACACGCCAAGCATGCCAAGTGGACTCGGCGTTACAACGCGGAAGCTGATAAGCCGAAGTGGTGCCATGGCTGGCCACGACGGTGTGTGCCCTTGCATTCCCATCGAAAGTTCTGGCCCGGCGCGTATGACTGCTGAAAAGGCCTCTGCGATGTGACGAATCATCTGAACACATAGGGCGTGGCCGTAAGTAAAGAGCGCCGAGCGTTGCGCAATCCGCTGATAATTCTATTCGCGTCACGTCCGCGGCGTACGGGCCTGAGCAGCGTGCCGCTCTGGATCCATTAGCAATCCATTGTGCTACCATAGAGCGGACACGGCCGTCCTCGTGCAGTCACGTCGGCCCAGAGTGCACGTGTTTCGATGTCACGTGTCACGTGACACGTGTCCGCTGCCGAAGCCAGCAGCGGTAGCCAAAATCAGCAACGGATCGCCAGAGCATGAACGGACGGAGCGGGAGCTGCGGTATCTCGATGCCGCTACCAACTGATCGGCTCTTCCAGCGCTTACTGAATTGTGGACATATATGAAGCGCCCCAGGGACCCCCATATGCCCAATATAGGCAGCCGTGAGAACAACAGCATTCGCTCGCCAGCCTCTGTTGAAGTGAAGTGCCGTGAAGTCGCATTTTCAGATCACAAAAGCGTCAGGTTCGGAACGTCGCCATCACTTGGGAACTACTGCCAACCGATGCAGCAAATGCAGCGTAGTAGTGTATGGCAGAACAGCAGCAGGCAGGCGCCAGCGCCCGCCTGGCCCCGCTTCTCGGCTCCGGCCCCGTCCTCGGAGCCATGCGGCGAATCTCAGCGCGGCTGCGGGCGAACAGACACACACACGGCGCCTGGCCTGCACGGCTCTTTACAGGATGATGCAAGAGGCACGGGTCGAGGTCGGTCCAGCCATGGCGCTGCCAGGCCGGCCCGGAGCCACGGCCCGGCCCGCCGGCAACTACAGCGTCGCAGGCTCCGCCGCGCAGCCCTGGTCATCCCTGACGCCTGGCATGTGTGGCGAGGAAGGCGCCTCACTCCTGGCGTGTAGCCTTGGATCTGTGATGTCGTTGGGCGCGGAATCTTTCAGCGGAATGTGCGCGATTCCACGGCAAAGTCAGTCTGGGGCCGGGAACGGAATCGGACCGAGAGCGTGCTACCGAGGCCAGTTACGCACTCGGGTCGCTCCTGGTCACGCGGCTGACTCCGCTGCGACCAGCACCAGCCCGAGCACTAACGAGGGCAGGCGGTCCGCCGCGTCGCCGCGCCCGGCCAGCCTCTGCAGGGCCAGGACGTTATCCGACGATCTGGGCCGGTGTGACGTCACGGGCGTCACGTCACGTCCAGATGGCTGCGAGGAGTGACGGGCGAGGCTCCCTCGGCGGCGGGGCCGGCCGGTGGTGTCCGGCACGGGTAGGTTCCGACTCAGGCAGGGGGCGATACAGGGGAGAGGACCGGACAGA